TGCTGCTGCTGCTGCTGCTGCTGCTGCTGCTGCTGCTGATAATAATAATAATTATTATTATTATTATTTAATATTTAAAATAAATACACGATGCTCTGGGGTGTACGTACACCCCAGAGGACAGCTGTCTTCGTAGAGGCTGCAGGCCTGAAGCGCCGAGGCCCTCGAGCTGTGTGCTGCTGCTGCTGCTGCTGCTGCTGCTGCTGCTGCTGCTGGTGTAGCAGCAGCAGATGCCATTAATTTTGTGTTTAATTAAACAGAAAAAAGAAAAAATAAATAAATTAAAATTTACTATGAAGGGCTGGAGGGTGTGGTTGGCTGTTGCTGCTGTTGTTTATATATTGAATTGCTGCTGCTGCTGCTGCTGCTGCTGTTGCTGCTGCTGCTATTGCTGCCGACACAGCAACGCCGTGCTGCTGCTGCCACTGCTGCTGCTCCTGCTGCTGCTGCTGCTGCTGCTGCTGCTGCTGCTTATATAAATAAACAATAACATATGTTTGTCTTCCCTGCTGCAGCAGAAAGAGAGAGCCTTCGTGTGCAGCAGCGCCCGAAGATCTGCTGCTGCAGCTGGGCTGCTTCTAGTGCAGCAGCTGCAGCAGCAGCAGCAGCAGCAGCTGCTGCTGCTGCTGCAGCAGCAGCTGCTGCTGCTGCTGCAGCAAGACACACAATTTTACCACTAGAAAACTACGCATGCAGCTAAACTATAGAAAGAGGAAGGGCCCCCTCTTGCTGCTGCTGCAGTTCAAGGTGTATATACACCTGAATCTCTTACACACGCCTTCTGCTGCTGCTGCTGCTGCTGCTGCTGCTGCTGCTGCTGCAGCAGCAGCATGGGGCTTGCAACGGCCCTTTGCTGCTGCTGTGTAGAGACACAACAGGAGACAGGCGCTAATATGTAGACTGCACATACACAACAATCTCGCGCTGCTTCTGCTGCTGCTGCTGCTACTGCTGCTGCTACTGCTGCTGCTGCTGCTGCTGCTGCTGTAGCAGCAGCAGCAGCTGTCTGCCTGCACAGGCATTTGCTGCTGTGAAGGGGCCCTCTAGGCTGACCCCCCCCTACACAGAGAGCATCACCACCCTAAACCCTAAACCCTTTCTGTTCATTCAGATACAAACAGAGAAGAAAATTTTATTGTTTTATACGTAACCCTAACCAAACCCTATAACAAACACTCACGGGGCCCCAGGGGCCCCCAGGGGCCCCCGCGGGCCGCAG